CTGACGTCAGGTGAGCAACTTGAGAACATGTTAGGGCAATCCTGGGGCTTCATGGTTCGGGCACCTTTTCTGTACATTCCAGTCCCCAGTACGTAAGAAGTCCATTTCTGCTTCGATGAACACTCTGAAACCTGCACCACACCCAAGCCCCTGGCAGGTGGAAATGGCTTGTGTCTGAGAGGGAGATGTGAGTCAGTGGTTACCTCAATGGCTGGCTTGCTGGGGTACGTGTAGTTACTATTCCGATGGGTTCTCAGGAAGGGCTCACTCTAAGAGAAAGGAGAGATGACATGGAGAGGTTATCTGACAGCATTGAAGTTTGCTTGAGAAGGAGAAAAACTAACAATCCTGCCCTGTAGATTTATTTAACATGATTCTTCTGCACTTAAAACTATGTAAACATAATTTCATCCATTCCCCAGAGGGTTTTACGTAACAGCTTTGACAAAGATGGACAACAAAAGGTCTGCAGAGGGTTTCATACATGTAGCCTGGGGTCTGTGCTTTTGTGTTCCTCCTAGCAAATGAACATCCCTCTAATCCTCAGGCTTATCTATGTTCCTGGCTTTGTAATTTCTCTAGCAAGGGATTTGTGTTTCAGCATTTTTTTCCTCTTCTAGAAAGTGCTATGATTATCAATAGATTTGAGTATCTGTTGGGATTTTCTTTCTGGCTCCTTTGAACTATGTGTCTTATCCTCTTTAGGTTGGCTTCCTGTGTTATAGTCATTTTTCTTGTAAAACATTTTCATTCCCTACTTACCTGTTTCACAGTCAGTTTTCACACAAGCTCAGTCAAGAACCCAAGCCCACCCAGTTGCAGGTGAGGGGTTAATTAAAGAAGGAAGCAGACGAAGGAGAAGTGGGGAGAAAGCTAATGAGAAAATATAAAAAGGACAGTGAAGCAAGATCGAGTTGATGACTGAGATCAGGAAATAGCATCTGGGCCCAGGGCTGTGAACACTCTCACAAAATGTGCTCAGTGGAGTAGCAAGCCCATGCTCTGAAAATTTGGCAATAAAATGGGAATAAGAAAAAAAACCAGGCTGGGCACAGTGGCTCATGCCTGTATTCCCAGTGTTATGAGAGGCTAGGGTAGGAGGATTGCTGGGGGCCAAGAGTTTAAGATCAGCCTGGGAAACAGAGCGAGACCCCATTTCTGTATTTTTTTTTTTTTTTTTTTTTGAGACAGAGTCTTGCTCTGTCACCCAGGCTGGAGTGCAGTGGTATGATCTTGGCTCACTGCAACCTCCACCTCCCCGGTTCAAGCAATTCCCTGCCTCAGCCTCCCGAGTAGCTGGGATTACAGGTGCCTGCTAACCACGCCCAGCTAATTTTTTGTATTTTTAGTAGAGACGGGGTTTCACCATGTTGGCCAGGCTGGTCTTGAACTCCTGACCTCGTGATCAACCTGCCTTGGCCTCCCAAAGTGCTGGGATTACAGGGGTGAGCCACTCACTGACCCTTTTTTTTTTTTTTTTAAGGAGTAAGCAATTTCATTTATTTTCAAAGTCTGATACTATCAGTTGGTATGCTACCAAACACACTAATTTCTGTGAAGCAAGCTGACTTAACCATCTATCTATACTAGCTCATCTGCCTGAGATGCTAAGAATAATGAACATTTACTGGAACATACTATATGTCAGACACCTCTAGGCTTTTTTTTTTTCGAGACAGAATCTTGCTCTGTCATCCAGGCTGGAGTGCAGTGGCTCCATCTCCGCTCACTGCAACCTCCACCTCCCTGGTTCAAGAAATTCCCCTGCCTCAGCCTCTTGAGTAGCTGGAATTACAAGCACACACTACCAGGCCTGGCTAATTTTTTTTGTATTTTTAGTAGAGACAGGGTTTCATCCTGTTGGCCAGACTGATCTTGAACTCCTGACCTCGGGCAATCTGCCCGCCTCAGCCTCCCAAACTGCTGGGATTACAGGTGTGAGCCACCACGCCCAGCTGGTTCTTTATAATAATTTCGTCTTCATTCAGCCTTCTCAAAATATCCATGGGACAGATACTATTATTATCCACATTTCATAATTGAGAACACAGATGAGGCTCAAAGAAGTGAAGTTGCTCTAAGATAAAAAGATTATTTCCTTCAAACATTGATCAAGAATATTTGTTATTTAGAAATCATGTCATTTCGGCCGGGCGTGGTGGCTCACGCCTGTAATCCCAGCACTTTGGGAGGCCGAGGCGGGTGGATCACGAGGTCAAGAGATCGAGACCATCCTGGTCAACATGGTGAAACCCCGTCTCTACTAAAAATACAAAAAATTAGCTGGGCATGGTGGCGCGTGCCTGTAATCCCAGCTACTCAGGAGGCTGGGGCAGGAAAATTGCCTGAACCCAGGAGGTGGAGGTTGCGGTGAGCCGAGATCGCGCCATTGCACTCCAGCCTGGGTAACAAGAGCGAGACTCCGTCTCAAAAAAAAAAAAAAAAAATCATGTCATTTCAGAAATTGAATTTATAAAAATAAGAATGTTTTATTTTTGCCTTATCTTGTAGCAAACAGAAAACTATCATCACTTTGAAAGCCAACATTGTTCTTTCTCCTTGGATCACAAGCTCACGTATAGTCAAGCAAGTGCCCCCAAGAAAAACCCCAGAATTGAAAACAGGTGTATTCCCTTCAGAAAAATCAAAGCTAGAATGTTTAGCTATTAAAGTGCTTCCCCCCAGACTGAGACCAAGTGACTTTGCTACAGTGGTTCAAGAGTAGCTGACTCCTTCCTCACCCATCATAGAATGCCTATTGCTAAGTAGCAAGCCAGGGCCTTAGACTGGAGCCCTCAAAATGTTTGGCTCTTGCTGATAGCTGTCAGTTCTTGCTGTTAATATTTCTCTGGGCTGTGCATAGTGGGTCATGCCTGTAATCCAGCACTTAGGGAGGCTAAGGCAGGCGGAGCACCTGAGGTTGGGAGTTCGAGACCAGGCTGACCAACATAGAGAAACTCTGTCTCTACTAAAAATACAAAATTGGTCAGGTGTGGTGGCGCATGCCTGTAATTCCAGCTGCTCGGGAGGCTAAGGCAAGAGAATCACTTGAACCTGGGAGGCGGAGGTTGCAGTGAGCCAAGATTGCGCCATTGGACTCCGGCCTCGGCAACAAGAGTGAAACTCCATCTCTAAATAAATAAATAAATAATAGCCTTGTCATTGGGCACACAACGGACACGGCTCATGCAGCAAATCGGCTGCAGTGAATAGCGTACACCTGGCTGCGGCCCTCTTTGGCACTACCGTTGTTTCTTCTTTTGTCATCTTGGAGGTGCAGGCCCAAGAAAGATGAAGGAGAAATCTTAATTTGAGGGTGACTAAATGAGTGCGTCAAGACCACTTACCCCCAATCCACATTCTGCAAGACAGTTTAAGAAAAAGGCCAAGTCGCTGTCTACCTCAAGGTTCTGGGCTCCACAGTACTCAGCACAGCTGTCCCTATGCGTAAACACTTCCCACTGATGCGCGTCTTCCCTGTCTCCCAAGTTAGGCACCATGATGCCAAGGTGCTCTGTCATCAACACTCCCATTCCTTAAGAATTTCAGGCCAGGTGTAGTGGCTCACACCTGTAATCTCACCAGTCTGGGAGGCCAAGGCAGGAGAATCACTTGAGCCCAGGAATTTACGACCAGTCTGGGCAGCATAGTGAAACCCTGTCTCTATAAAAAGTTTTAAAAATTAGCTGAGAGTGGTGGTGATGAGGTGAGAGTGCACACCTGTGGCCCCAGCAATTTGGGAGGCTGAGGCAGAGGGGTCAAGGCTGCCGTGAGCCATGACTGTACCACTGCACTCCTCTAGCCTGGGCAACAGAGTTAAGACCTTATCTCCATTAAAAAAAGAAAAAAAAGGCATTTCAAACAATAACAGCAGTTTAATTCTTCCTTGGCATCTAGGTAAAACTGGGCAAAACCCCATCTCTGCAACAAATTAAAAAAAAATTAGCTCGACATGGTGGCATGTGGCATGTACTATTAGCTAGGTAGCAGTCCCAGCTACTTAAGAGGTTCATGTACTATTAGCTAGGTAGCAGTCCTAGCTACTCAAGAGGCTGAGGCAGAAGGATTGCTTGAATCCAGGAGTTTGTGGTTACAGTGAGCTATAATTGTACCAGTGCACTCCAGCCTGAGCAACAGAGTGAGACTCTGATTCAATAAAAAACAATTAGGCTGGGCGCCCTGGCTCATACCTGTAACCCTAGCTCTTTGGGAGGCCAAGGCGGGTTGATCACACGAGGCCAGGAGTTTGAGACCAGCCTAGACAACCTGGTGAAACTCTATCTCTACTAAAAATACAGAAAAATTAGCCAGGTGTAGGGGTGCATGCCTGTAATCCCAGCTACTTGGGAGGCTGAGGCACGAGAATTGCTTGAACCTGGGAGGCAGGGCTTGCAGTGAGCTGAGATCTTGCCAGCGCACTTCAGAGATCGTGGCAGAGCAAGACTCCGTTTCAGAAAAAAGAAAGGGAAAACCAGAATGTTGGAAGAGTGATCTTGTCTCATCCCTGACCATGTGCACACAACTATGTTCTTGCCTGGCATAGTAGATAACTGACTTTGCAACCCCCAAATGCCCCACTTTATAGCTGAGTAGCGGCTGAGGCCCAGAGTGAGGAAAGGCCTGGTTCCAGGTTAGGGAGCAAGCAGTGAGTGCAGAGCTGGGCCCAGAGCTGCCTGGACAGGCCTCTTGCCTGGTTCCACTCCTCGCACTGGAGGTCAGGCCAACAAAGACCCTGTCGGTCAGACGTGGGAAAGGAAGAGAGGCACACAGCAGCGACTGGATGGACAGAGTCCACCCACACAAAAAGCTCTCAGCCCCCAGCTCAAATCCGGCAAGTCTCTCCTTTCCTCTGGTCTCAGCATTCCTGTCTGAAACATGGGCTTGTAACTGACATCCTTTTAGGGAGAGGTGCTCGGGGCCAAGGGGGAGAAGTGAGCCCTCGACTGGCTACGACCCTGTGAGACGGAAGAGGGCTTATGGTTGCAGGGCCGTGTAGCTACTTGGGCTTGTCTCGAGTTCATAGTAAGCATTCCCTGAACAGTCACCAACAGAGGAAGGCGATCTGGGAGCATTCTATAAATAACTGACCCATGCTGGTTGAGCAGCTCAAGCGTTAGAGAGCATTTCTAGGTGCCAGGATGAGGGGAGGAGAGAAAGACTCACAACCGGCTCAGGTTGGGAGACAGACTTGAGAGGCTGAGGCAGTGACGCATCAGAAAACGGCGTGGCCACTAAGTGCAGCACCTGCTGAGGAACTGCAGCAAGAAATGGAGATGGAGGGTCCCCAGAGACGAGACTCAGTGGCATTCTCCCCGCACTTGAAAGGAGCCCAGACTGGGCTTAGGGTCCAGGGCCTGGAGCCGGTCCTACCGTGACCAGCGTGGGAGGCACTCAGGAAAAGACAAACCTGACCTTTTTGGAAGTGCTGTGAGTGCAACTGGAGAATGTATTTCATTGAATCGATTTGATCATAAGCTCTAGAGATTGGGGAAAGGGAGACAGCTAAAGGGCCAGAGGTCAAGGAGACCTCGGAATGTGGTACAGACCGAGACCAGGGCAGGTACAATCACAGCCCAGGGTGGTGGTAGACAGGCAGCCGTGGGGGCCCCAGGGCTTGTTTCGTTGTTGTTTTTTTAAATTCCTTCTTTTTCCCCCTCAACTCCTATGCTCTTGTCTAATGGGCTTTTACTGCGTTTTATTGGTCTTGTTTTTATTGTTGGGTTTTATTGGGCTTGCTTGTTTTTAGCTGGGTTTATTGACCATTGACCACTTGGTGCATGCATTCAGAGTGCTTTAAAGCCTGGAGTCAAGCTTGAAGGCTGGGTTTGGAGCTCTCGTAGAAGGGAGGGCCGACTGAATGGTAGCATGAGGAACCGGTCTAGTAGTTCCAGCCATGCAAAGATGGTGTGGGCTGCCGGGGGCGGTGGGGGGAGTGGGTGGCAGGGGAGGCAAAGCCCAGACAGCTGCCTGATGTGAGTCAGCAACGTGAGTCAGTGGCCATGGGACAGGGCCATTAACATCCTGGCTGCATTACTAGGTGTAACATTCCATGGGGAAGGAGGGGTGATTTTCTTCTCTTCTGTCTGGTTGGATCAAACCAGATGTACAGTCACCACCTTGCAGGGGGCCACAGTCCAAGGAGAAATACACATGTGAGGCAGGTGTTGGCAGCTGTGTGTGCAATGAGTGGTTGGAACTGAGATGACTCTCAGCTGGGTGGTGGCAGTCAGAGGCAGGAGGATATAATGGTGTTTCATGGGATGTCCTATGAGCTTTCCTATCCTATTCCATTCAAAAAGTGCTAGTTCTGGCTGGGCGCGGTGGTTTACACCTGTGATCCCAGCACTTTGGGAGGCCAACGTGGGAAGATTGCTTGAGCTCAGGAGTTTGAGACCAGCCTGGGCAGTAGAGTGAGACTCCATCACTATTAAAAAAACAGTGCTGGTTCTTTACCTATACTGATTTCAGGTGGTTTGAAAGCTCACCTTAAGAAAGTGTGAACATTTGGGGATGGAGAACATTAGGACAAATACCTAATACATGCAAGGCTTAAAATCTAGATGATGGGTCAGTAGGTGCAGCAAACCCACAGCACATGAATACCTATGTAACAAACCTGCGCATTCTGTACATGTATCCAGGAACTTAAAAAAAAAAAAAGTCAACATTTAATCAGAGGTCATAGGGATGCCCTGGGAAGGATGTGGCAGAATTCCATTATTTTATGAGAGATTGCATCCACAGATGATTAAGGCCCTCCCCACTGAGAACCTAACGTTATGTAAGTCTATTGTTTCACGGTGGGGAGGTGGGACTAGTTTGCCTTTAATGCACAAAGTGATGAGGATCTGAGCCCCTGCAGAAGCAGTGGGAATGGGAAGGTAGGAAGAATCCTATTAGATTCTGGAGTACTAGGAAGAATCCTATTAGATAGGGTCCCTGACATTTCATGCCTGCCGAGCTTGAAAACCCCAATAACAGTGACAGAAATAGAGAACTCCTAGGGAGCAGAGAGTTTGGGAAGACAAAGAATTGTTCCTATCTAGACATTCCTTGCTCAGAAAATTATTTTTTGAGTGAATATTAAGCTTGAGATGGTGGTGGGGTCATGGCAGGATTAGATTTAGAAGTTCTGAGCATCAAAAAGATAGCAATGCCCCTTATATGTAATTCAGTTTAGAAATACTGCTAAACCACAAATGATGTTTAAGGAAATTTAACAAACTCCTGCTTTCTCTCATGAGAAAAGATTGGGTGTGATACATGAACTTATTTCAGCCCCACTCCTGCTTGATCATACATTAATCTGCCTTTTGGGTAACCTTGTACCCTATAGAGCATCCAAGGGGAAACGTATTTTAAAGGTTGGAAATATAGGATTGGAGTTTGGGAAAGAAGAAATGGAGACACAGCCTGAGAGACTGAGGAATCTGGCACACAGACATTTCATGGGAAATCCTGGAAATGGAGAAGTCTCAGAGTGAGAGGATGTGGAGACGGAGAAAAGAAAACAGGCCAGGCACAGTGGCCCACACCTGTAATCCCAGCACTCTGGAAGGCCGAGGCTGGTGGATCCCTTGAGTCCAGAGTTCAAAACCAGCCTGGGCAACATGGCAAGACACCACATCTACACTAAAACAACAACAACAACCCCAAAATTAGTTGGGTATGGTGATACACGCCTGTAGTCCCAGCTACTCGGGAGGCTGAAGTGGGAGGATGGCTTGAGCCTAGGGCTTCAAGGCTGCAGTGAGCTATGATTGCACCACTGCACTTCCAGCCTGGGAGAGCAAGATCCTGTTTCAAAAAGAGAGTTAAAAAGGAAAGAAAATAGAGCGGAGACATGAAAATTGAAGAATGTTTCCATTTTCAAGACTGAGAAAAGGGAGGAGGAGGGCCATTAAAGGCAGCGACCAGAAAAACAGAAAAATCAAGGTGATTTAGTGTCCACAAACCCAGGAAGGAGGGGACTTCAAGGGGGAGGTGGTGACCTTTGACAAGTACTTCAGAGAAGCCAAGAGGAATGAAAGCTGCAAAAAGGACCAGGCGTTCAGCCAGCTGCCCTGGGGTTAGGAAAGGAGTGGGCAGAGAGCCCATGAAGGCAGGAAGGGTATAGGCTCAGTCCACAGAATGGCTGTGAAAGAATTTGTCCAACTGGAAAGTACCACAGAAATCCATGGAGTGCTGTGAAGTCGCCCTACCTGGCACGCAGAATGTCTGAGCAGTTAGACTGGGGATGGGAGAAGGGAGGAGGCCGGGAAAGCTCATGCTCACAAGCATCTCGGCCTCCTGCCTCCCGCTCCCCACTGCGTTCTGCCTGTCGCCTGTTGCGTCTATGTTTAGACACATCTAGGACAAAAATATGTGCTGCCTGGCCCCTGTCAGCTCACACTGAGATGCTGGTGGACTTTTATTATCGCTCCAAGGCACATGGGAGGGAGCAGATGGGACCCGGGGAACGCAGAATGCTCAGAATGCAGTGAAGTTGGGCTGGCCAACAGATGGACCCTTTCAGAATGGGCTCCAAGGTTGCTTAGCAACAGCCTCACCCAGGCTGGGCTTCTACTGGTTCCACGAGGCTGGATCTGCTCACCTCTGCACATCCGTGCAGTGGCTCAATCGGGCTCTGTCTAAAAAGGGAGGCGCTGAGCCCACTGTGGCTTAAGATGCTGCTGGGTGGAGCAGCATCCTTTTCGGGGCTCTCTGCCTGATCTGGGGCAGAGCCCGGAAGAGGTTGGCTTGAAGCCCATGGTGACAGGCCTCTCCCTGACCCAGCGCCTAGGCTCCAACTCAGTGCTCAATACATGTTCGTTGAAAGAAATTGCAAATGATGGCTGCTTTTGTTATGTAATGGAAGGGGAATGGACCGTTTGGAAAGGGTCTCCCATGACTGATGTTCAGTATGGCTATATGAGCGGTTAAAATACTGAAATACCTACAGTATGGTTTATTGTGGGTATTTCTGAGTCCCCAAATGCTCCCACTATCCAAGTTCCCTGACTTCTCCCCTCTAACCCCCTGGACATCCTTAGGAAAGCAGGTAAAGAGTTTACACCTGGCACAGTAGGGGCCGCTAGGGTTTTGCGGCAGCCCTTTGCCCAGCATCTGACCGTCTATACTGGAGGCATCCGTGTTGTACTGGTTGTTGCAGAATCTGACAATCTCCTTAGCTCTGAGCACAAGACCCAGCAACTGAGCCCTGTGCTACGACCATCTCCACTTCTCATCCCTTCTGCCTGCCAGTCTTGTTCTCCTGATGGGGCTGATGGCACAGACTGAGCCTGAGCCCAAGACTGGGGTAGGGCAGGCAGCAGACAGGGAGCATGGATGCGAACAGGGGTGCCTGCTCTCTCAGAATTCCCAGCAGACATGTAGGGGGCTGCAGGTCCAGTCCCCAGCAGGGAGGGTGGGAGAGTGTGGTGTGACCAACCTCGGAGGGAAACGCGGCCTCCCAGATTGGGTCGGGCCTTCTGCTTTTACTGCTGCTGAAGGCTCTCTGGCCTTGGCCTTATTTGGTTAAAAAGCCATAAGACAGGGCCTAGAAACAGGGGCTGAAGACAATGTGGCCGAGAACTTGCCCCACCCCAGGCCTGAAGTCAAGCTTAACAACCACTCACAGATTCCTCCTTAAAAGGAGTCTGGAGCTGCCGGGTCCTCACAGGCCCGTCCTCGTCCCTCCTCCATCCAGCTCTGGGCTCTGCCCTTTGCTGCTGTCCTCTGTGATGCTCTCCTTGTGGAATCTTCCCCATCCAGGCTCTCCTGTTTCCAACCACAGCTCCTGAGCCTGCCTGCTCCTGCCTGGGCCCTCTAACCTGCAGTCAGGCTTTTTCATCTGCCCCAGACACCACAGCTAAAAGAAGCCTCCCTGCCATTTTCCTGGCATCCCCATTGCCTCTTTCAAGAGCCCACTTTTCTCACGGGATCCTCTCCCAGGCCTCCTCTCCCTGCCTCTCCCATTCCCCAAGGCGGCCGCACTTTCGTCTCCCCTCTCCTGTCCATTCTCATGGACTCCCCTATATCCTCCAAATCTCCCAGGCCTCAGTAAAGGGGCAAGATGGGTACTGAGGAAGCCATGGTGGAGGATGAAGTGGGTAGGGTGAGCTGTGTGCCCTGGTTTGTGGAGGGGAGCCAGGCAGGTCCTCCCCTCTTACCTGAGTGGGGCAGGTGATGGGGATCTCCGCTCTCAGGTCCAGGGTCTCTGTTTTGCTTCCAAGTGGTTCAAGCTGATCAGGGAAGAAAAGAGAAACACGGGTGTAGTAATTTGTTTCTGTGGAAGTGAACATTCCCTGGCAGCATCCTGCGGTGGGGAAAACTCAGAACTTGCTTTCAGGGGGCTTGGCTCTCGCTTCTGGCTCTGCCCGTTGCCAGCCGTGGGGTTTTGGGCCAGTTGCTTAGCTTCTCTGGGAGTAGCTTCCTTGGAAACTCAT